CTGCACGTAGAAAGCATATTGCAGATGGATGAACTAAAAATAATAATAGTTATAATAATAAAACAATATATATATAAAAATAAAGTATGTGCAACACGGCGTATACGCAACCGGTTAGTGGAAAAACGGGCGCTGTTTTGTGAAAAGCGAAAGTTTATAGTTGGCGCACGTTCATAAAGTTTTGCGTGTTATACGAAAGATTTATTATATCGCATATATCGCAATTTTCCTTTCCTTTTTTTTTTTATATTTCATACTTTTTATGCTGTGTTTGCCTTTTGGCGTCTTTTTTTTTTATGTATTTCCATGGGTTTTCGGTTTGTTATTCTCCCGCTGCAACAACAACGACAGCAACACTAAGTGGCCGGGCAAATATGGCCTTGGGAGTTTTCGGTAACGGAATTAATGGGATTGTGAAAATTTTCAATAGCAAACTTTCCACGGCATGTTTGTGTTTGTGTGTGTGTCGGGTAATATAAAAATTTTTGATAAGTTATAAATCTGCTTGGTCTATATATAAGTTTTTATGTGTGTGTATGTATGTGTGCGTATTTTTATGACTTGTCTGGCAATTGGACGAATATAATTGGAAAGACTGTTAATATGGGCTTACGGCAATAATGCCGATGACAATAGGATTTGTGTTCAGAAAATGTCAACTCATCAAATTTAGCTGCACAGTTAGTGATGACACTATCGATTAAGTATTTATAGCGATAGTTTTGGATTTAAATATGCCTTTCTCATCTGAAAATATGTAAATGGGCATTCGCTGCATTCCTTAAAACAAAATATGAGCTGAGTTTCCAATATTTATTTATTTACATGTAATCTAAAAATTTCGAACTTAATTTATTAGAAATTCCAAAAGCTATAAATTTAACATGCCTGAAAACTATTGTTCTTTCTTTGAGTATCTCAAATTAACTTGGCAAAAATCTAAAAATTTGAATTCATTCTTTTCAGGTTCATTCTGAGCGCTTCATAAATTGCGCAAGCCCTTCTTAACTGGCAATATCTTCTTCTTTAAGTCGACTCCTTGGAAACAGTGCTGCCAAATCCTCTGACATGCTGTTGCCAACATGCTGCAGTACTCGAAACCAATTTGTTTGGCCAAAGCCAAGAAAGGACGCAGCAGCCACAGGCCAATTTGTTTGCTGCTTGCTGCCTTTTCGGGCCAAAAAAAAAAAAGGAAGAAGATGCCAAAGGATGCACTTCTAACGGAACAACTACAGTGACAGGCGGCAATTAATTAAGCTGATGGCAAACGCAGGACGAGCAGACAGACATCTAGAGATAAAAATATTGAAGGACGCAATGAAACCAAAACCAAGGATAATACAGATTACGCTAACCAATACAGTGAACGCTCGCAAAAGTCAACGTTTCATATCTATATGAGCTTTGTAATTTTCAGATAAATATTGGGACTGACAGCCATATTCAGCCAAGGAAAATAAATTTTGTATTAATTTTTATACATATTTTGAATTGATCCAAAATTAAAAATAGACATGTATGGATCTTATCTTATGTGTGAAGATATCAAAGAAGTGCAAGTCATCTTTTTGTATAATATTTATTATTTAATAGCACAAATGTGCACTGGCAAATTCTAATCCAAGCGCTTGTTATAAAAAATTTAAAAAGCAAAAACATAAGTTTCACCTTATTTCTATTGACAACAAGAGGTAAAAGCGCTTAATTACACATCTTTCTATTCTTTGATGGAATTTCGCAGATTGAAAAAATGTTTCAAAACGAACAAATCCAAAGCTAAAAACATTTAATTATTAAATATTTTACAACGTATTCAGATTCTGATATCGAAACACTGGCATTTCGGGAATTTCTATATATCGAGCGATGACTGTAGCCTGTTACACACACACACACACACACAAACATTATGTAGGTGAACGGCTTAGCAAAGAAGCTGTGCGTTAGTTTTTTAACACAGTTTACGGGGGTGTGTGTAGGGGATGGGGATGGGGGGTATATTGTAGTGTTTGCCGAGGTTACGAGGCATTGGTCAAGCCTTGAGATTTTACGCAGCTGCGTAAGCTGCGTGGCTGTGTAGTACACGATAATACCGTTATTATGTACTACACGAATACCAACAACACATATACATATATACAAAGTGTAGGCGAGTGTGTGTCTGTGTGTGAGCGTGCGTAGTAGTAAATAGTAAAATGACATAGCATACTTTTTTGGGCGCGCAACACACACAAGTGAAATGCGCACGCACACAATGTCACACAAATTTTGATTTATAGCACCGCTTGAAACTTTTGCTAATTTATGTGATTTTTCAAACAAAAAAAAAAAACAAAAAAAAAGAGAACAAACTAATGATTTCCAGCGCTTTCCTTTTGTAAATGCGTGTGTGTTTGTGTGTAATTTTATTGTGCAATCAACGACTGCAGCTTCATATATGTGTGAGAAGCGCTCTCACGCTCTTTAAAGTCGCTCTTTCGAGTTTGCTCCCACTCCCTCTCTCTCACTCACTCACACTTACTTGCTGCTTAGCGCGCCAAATTCGCAATTTCGAAGCTCCAGTGCGAAAAGTGCTGCTTGACCAAAAACAAAAAAGTCTGTTGTAAAGGGGGCGACGGCGGCTGCTGCTGCTAACGCCTGCTCTGTGTGCAGTGAAGCGCAGCGCAGTCGACGGCGACGGCAACGTCCACAGATTTGCCGACAAAAACACACACGCTACGTTTTTACTACGCGAACGTCGGGCAGGACCGTTAACTTTCGAAAAAGCTCGCGACGAGAGACGATTTATATGGCTGCGCGGCGTTGGCGTTGGCGTCGGCGTTTGAGTTGGGCTCTGCTCTTCGGCTTTTTGGCGCTCACAAGTATTATACTACTACACACATACATACATATACAAATATATGTGTGTAACGTATATATATATAAATATATATATATAATTGTATGTCTATTTATACATGTATAAGGAATTTTTTCAACATTTGCTTTTAAGAAATTGTAGTGTACAGAGATTTTCACATGCGTTTTCTAAATTGCACTCGCGTTTATTTATTTTTGCTGTATGCGTTTTTCTCTCATGCTTTACAACACTAGATTTTTAATGTAATTTTGAGCGCACTTTGCTTGTCTTTTGTTTTTTTTTTTAATTTGCCAAACACATTTAATTTTTAATTTTTAATTCATTTTGTCAATTATTCGCACACTTCTATGGTGTTTTATATTAATTATGGTCGTCGCGTTTTAGTTTTGTTGTTTTGTATTGGGCTTCAGATTGAATTCTTATGTCTTTTGGAGCTTCGCGCAAAAACGCATCCACACTCGCCTGGTTCACGCACCGAACTGAAACTGAGAGCGCTGCGCTCTTTGGGCGCAATGCTTTTGGGAGCATGTTGCTCGCCATTTCGAAAGCATAAATTGCTGCGAGGGGGATTTCGTATTATGGAGCGGCTAACATTTCACTTGCCAAAGACACGCGCTCGCCTTGTTGGGGTTGCAACGGTTTATTGTTCTTTTTGGTGATGAGCTATCACCCACACTGCGTGTCACGCGCTGCTTATCGATATATTGAGAAACGCACTCGAGAAACGCACTCTGACAAAAGCTACTCTATGTGACACGATGGTTTGAGGCAGCGTTCGCTGCATTGAAATGTTTGCTAAATTAAGGCACACAAAAAAACGGAAAGCTTTGATTCAAAAAGCTCTACTGATAGTCATAAACTAAGCTTTCAAACATGAATTGGCTTCCCTTACGCGAAACTGAAAACTAGAAAACAGAATGTTGGAAGAATGTTGCTCGACATACAAAATATTTTAGATTGATATCGCATTATTATCTTCCGTGGCGATAGCAATCGCAATCTTACATTAAGCGACCACAGTAATTTGCATATTTGAATTATCGAAAAATAAAAGCCAAAATAAATTTAAAAAAAATTATTTGTAAATGAATTGTTAATGTGAGCAATAAATTTGATCCAGAATTAAAAATGGTCTTAAGGCCCCTTGAAATACTATAAGCTCACGGTTTTTTCTATAAGTGCAAAAATATCGTTTCATTGCGTTCTTCTGATTTTATATACAAAATATCAATATATTTGTTTTATTTATTTTTTTGTTTGTTTTGTTTTTAGTTGACATTGAATCATGGATAAGCGTACTTGTGAAATTAATAAAACTCAATTCATTACTTTAAAATTGAATATTACGTTAAAAACTAAACTTAAAAACGAAAATTATTTTTTTAGTTCTGCTTTTTTTGTGCGTTTTTCTTTTTCATTCCAGGCTTAAAAATATGAACACTAAATGTTTAATTTAACCTAAGTGAATAATTTTACTATATTTTTTTGTTGTTGTTGTTTTTGTTTTTGAATATACATTCGTTGCCATAGAGATATTGTACACGTATATAATAATATATTATATGTGTTTTAGCAGTGTGTGCGGGTCTGTGTGTGTGTGTGTGTGTATATAGATATATATATATAGTTATATACAGATTGATTTGCTTAGCAAATTATGGCAAATTATTCTACAATAAAAATGTTGCAAATACATATACATTTATGCTTGATTGTGTTTGTAATTTAATTCATGTTAATTGTTTTTGTTTTTTTTTTTTTCATTTGCCAATTCTCATTACAAATATTATCTTCATGTCAGCTTAGGTATTTCTATACATATATTTATATATATATATATATATGTATGTATTGTATATATATATATATTTATGGGGTTAGTAGTGTTAATTGTTTGTATGAATGAATGAATATGCCGCATTAGCATTAGTCGTTGTTAATTTTGGTGCATGTGCCCTCAACTTATCGGTTAATTTTAGTATATTAGTCAAGTATATAGTGCATAGACTTTTGGCTGGATTAAAGATTAGTTTGTTAATACCTCGCGCCATGATTTGAGTTTGTGATTTAACTGAGGGAATGAGTGTCTGAGTGTGTGTGTGTTTTCTGACGTGTTCTCTCTGTACAATTTAAATGTAACTAGACTTTTTCCTAAAGTGTATTGTTCTTTATAAAATATGCCAACGCTGAGTCTGAAGTCTATAATAAATACATACTGCTCAACTTTAAGTTGGCAAAAACAAGAAATAATAATTATTTATAAACTTAAGTTGAATTCAATTTTGCCTTGGATTTAAGCATGACTATAAACTATATTGTAAACATTAAAATTATATATTGTTTTATATTATATAGATACACATAATTTAAATAGGCATTGTTTTTGTTTTGTTTTTGTTTGGGCAGCGATTTGCGAGCAAAGTGCAAATTAAAAGAGAAAAAACAAAAAAGCGCGCGCTTATGAAATTTCAATTAAATATTTTTTAAACATTTGGAATTAGGCAACTAATAACTTTTCACTTAACATAAATAATTTATAATATTTTTTTTTTTAGATATTTATATATATATATATGTATTAGAAACACTTAATATTTAAATCTGTTAGGGCGGGCGTGTGTGTGCTTGAGAGAGAGACAGTGGACAGGCCTTTAGAGCGCCTAGGCGCGACTGCTTCCGCTTCCGCTCCCGCTGGCGCTGCTGTTGTCGGCGCCAGAAGTCGCAGGATTCTTGTGACTGCCAATTGACTGGAGCGGCTGACGAACGCTGGAGCTGCTCGCCGACTTAATTGCTGCGGCTGTGGCTGTTGCTGGCACGTCCTCCTCATCGCCCAGATACTCATCCGGCTTGTGACTAGAGGCCGGCGGCGTTAGCAGACTCTCTGGAGCGCGCAGTGCCGTCGCCGGCGAGGCCTGAGTGCGAGCACGCATCTCATGCAATGTATTCTGTGCAAACAGCAGTTCATCCTAAGAATTTCAAAATATTAGCGAAAATTTAAGCAAAGTAGCCTTAAGCTGTTCCTACTCCTTTTTTTTTAGATACTTACATACATATCCATTGTGATTGTGTGCGTCTGAATGATGTGCGAGTCATCGGTGGTAATGTTCGGGCAGATATGGGCCAGTCCAAACTTATTTGTCACTTGCTCGTTCTGTTCATTCAGCTGCAGATAGGGCGCCTTCTTGGATACGACATGGAAAAAGGGCTCCATCCAGCGCGCGCAGGCCTGCACAGCTTGCCAATCCAGGCCCGAACAGCGCAACGCGGTCTCACTAAAAGCAGAAAGCAGAAGGTAAACGTGAGTATGGAAGAAGCGTGGAAAATGGGTGGTTTGTGCAATCCTTAAAAAGTTCTCTCGAATATAGGTGAAAATCTATTGAATACATTTTTATGTATTCACTAAAAAGCAAAAAGCTTTCTAGATATCAAACTTACCGGTTGAATGTATGACTTATGGCTGCCGCGGCCAAAATCGAGTAGGGATAATTGGCCATGCCCACATCCAGGGTGCACAGATCGAGCAGCTGCGACGTTTGCACAAACTCGTAGGCCTTAAACTGTGGATAGATGAAGGCATCATCTGCCTCGCCGGCTATCGCCTGTTTGCCAAATGAGGCCGGCGTGCGATTGTTAACGATGAGTTGCATATAAACGCCCAGCCAGGCGGTTACTGTGATGGGGCAAATGTCCCAGCCGAGCGCCAGCAGCAGCAGCTTCTCATGCTGCAGTATGTCCCGCTCAGTGCAGGCACCATCCGTCACATAGGCGAATTCACTGATTTTTGGCGGATAGATTTCCTCCACTTTGGCGGCAACAAACAGGCACGTGATGCCAATCAGCTGCAGATGGGTCTTTTGCACCTGGCGACCGGAATGCAAATAGCGATCCAGATAGTCCACAGCCAGGTAGAAGGTCTCGCGATGCAACTTATACACCTCGCAGACCTCGTTCAGCCAGTCGAGCAGTATGGCACGCATGCGCGGCTGCAGACCCGGGTGCTGCTCTAGCATGCTGCTGCTGCGCAGGTGCGAATCCTCTTCATCCCGTTTGCACATCAGTTTCCAGACGTCTGCAGCGTTGGCCCAGGAGAGGGCGGGCAACGGGCACTGACGCAGAGTTATCTCCCCCGCGGGCGACATGCAATTGTAGCTGTTGTGGTCGGCGACATCCTTTTGAGCATTAAATTTGCTCAACGCATCCTTGCTGACGGCACGGCTGCCATTGCTCGGCGGATGCGCCAGCTGCTGAGTAGCCGGCGTCCGTTCACCATTTTGACTGCGACCGGTGACCGTTGAGGAGGCGGGCGAAGAGCTCGATGAATTTATTTCCTCATCGTCTTCCACATCGTTGTCGTCCTCGTCGTCATCCTCCTCGTCGAAGGAGTACTCCTCACAGCTGTCGTCCAGCAGCTCGTCAACATCAACATCAGCCTTTGACTGCTCCATGGCTCCATAGGGCACCACTCCCGCCAGCTGTTTGGCACCGCGATCTGGACTGGGCGGACTGTCTGGGCTATCGGGCAGCGGACTGTGCGGCGCCTCCGGCAGCTCCTCCGCCGGCGAACTGCGAATGCTGAGCAGCTCCTGGGCATTCAGCGCCGTCTCGCTGGTCGTCGAAGTCACCGGCGATGTGTACACCGAGGAAGCCACCGAGGAGCGATCGCTCTGGTCGCTGCCATAAGCCACACCAGCCAAACGCTGTTGGCGTTTGGCCGATGGCGGTTCGTAGCCAAGTTCAGGATCCTGTAAAACGAAAGGAATTTAGTTTTAAGTAAAATTGTTAACAATAAAAAATAAAGTAAAATGTGTGCTATATTATTTTGAATAAATATACAAATATGGTCGATCATATTAAAATCAAATATTAATATTAATTCAATTATAATATTAAATATAAAATAATAAAGAAGGGCGTTTGACAAAAATTAAACTTGATATTTAATCAATTTAGGCTTTTAGCAAATTTAAAAAATATTAAATAATTAGAAGGACAACCGTTTTTGTCGACAATTATTAATTAAATGAATCTCAAGAAATTTCATTTAATGTATTTCATCAAGAATAAGAAATAATCTTGTCGATCGGAAACTAGATAGATCTTCCATTTGATCATAACAATCTTCCATATAATATCAGCCAGCTTAAGCTCTCGACGGATCATAACAAGATAAAACTAATATATATAAGCTTATCTAATATATAATCCATATATTACCATCTATTGCCATACTAGACATTCTAGAATCAACTTGAGACTCAACTATCTCAGCTGTAAAAGTCTTATCTTAATATATAGATTAAATTGATGTAGATTTTTACCATTTCAATGAATTTGCGCTTCTGTTCCAACTTCATAATAACATTAACAACAATTTTGATAAAGATGCCGAAACAAAGATGAAATCGAAAGCAAGGATCACACGCAAGGAAAACGTGTTTCGAATTAATTGGCAGACACTTCAAAGAGGATCCACAAATAATTGTGAATTTATGTGGGCACGCCTGTCAAAAGGCTGACCTTAATCCTGGCCGTCGTCTTATAATACGAAACACCCGCACAATAAACCGCATACACACCAGAGAACTTCAAAAGGATATATGTTCAGCCGGGGTTTCAGTTCCTGATAACAATAACACTTTTTCCTCGCGACTGGGAAACGTGGGAGAGTGTTTACAATGTGTGTGTGTGTGTGTGTGTGTGTGTGTGTATAGAGAGTTTGTATGTGTGTGTATTGCACTTTTGCTAGAGTTAAAAGTTATTTATGTTATTATTATTTTTAATATTATTATTTTATAATTTTATTATTTTTATTATTATTATTTTTATTATTATTATTTTTACTATTATTATTTTTAATATTATTATTTTTAAATATTATTATTTTTAATATTATTGTTTTTAATATTATTATATATTTTTTTAAATATTATTTGTATTATTATATTTAGCAGCAGTCTTTGGTTGTTTTGTCGCGTTTAGTTCTTTGGTATGATTAAAGTGTGTCTTGGCACTTAAAACATTTATTTATTTTATTTTTTTTTTTTAATTTTGATTTTTTATCGCGCTGCTGTTGATCTTGCGAAATCCGGTTCCTAAATTAGTTTTTTGCACTCGGTTCAGTCTCTCGTTTTCTGCATCTGCTTGAGGTATATATTTCTTGTTTATTCCTTTTGCTCAGCAACAACAACGAATCATTTTCTTGGACTTCTTTTTTTTTTTTTTTCACCGCTCTCTGCTCGTCGTGTACCAAACGCGTTGACTTGCGCTGTGCAACTGAGCTGATCGAGGCTCGTTCCAGATCGCCGATCCCCGAACCCTGCCAACCCGAACCCCGGTTTGTTAACTTCGTTGCGCCGTCGTTATCCTGCCCGAAGGTTGCATTTAGACATTTAGGGGTTGCAATACCGAAACAGGATCGACAACTGATCGCCCGTTCGCTGTCTCGTTCGCTCCCGCTCTGTCAATCTGCCAGCTTTATTGAGTCTGGCCGGGGTTCCTGGGTTCGATTTCTTGAGACGCGCAACGTCGCGTTGTTTTTGTTGTTTTCGCATTGCATTTGGGTGTTTATCAGCCAAGTAAGCAGCAGCAGCTACAAATCCCTGTGACGGCTGCTGCTGCTGCGGCTGATCCTTTTTACAATTATTTTTGTCAACTTCTTTCAGGTAGACACTCGGCCAGAAATCACTACCTACTCCGCTCCTCCCGTTGCCGTCGTATTATCGCCTTTTTGGCTCGAGCTCAAGCTGCAGTCTTAGCTCTTGCTTAGAAACCGTCTTTTTTCGTTGTCTTTCACAATAAATTATCTCTATTTTTTTCTTTTTTGGCATTGCATTTGGGGCGTTACTAAAGCCAAAATGTAGAGCTGAGCTAAAGGCACCACAGATCAAAGTGAAGATCAGCAGCAGATGTGCAAAAATTAAACCACTTTGTCAACTAAAGACTGAAATAAATAGTTATGCAAAGGAGAAAATTGTTGCTTTTTCGGTTCACAGTTCAAACTAAAATTCTTGCCTTTTATTTCAACTGCTGAAGCTTCGAGTCTTGGTTAAGGATTTTTGAACTTTCTCTAAATTAATTCAATCAAATTTTCAAATCAAATATACGAACAAAATTTGTATGATTTTCTGGTTAGGGTAGGGAATTCCGTGTACAAATCCTTTGAACAATTTGAAACAGATCTCGCTGCAAAACTCCTTAACCCAACATTCCCTCAAAAAAGGGCGTGTCAATGTGACACATCATAAAAGCTTAACAATTTCCTCAGTCCAAGGAGGCTCGTTAAAGATTTTTCACATAATTTGTACGAAAATAAGCTGCAGTAAAATGAGGGAAAAAATTTAACGATATTTATGTGACACATTTAATTGTTTGAGTAGGTCTGCCAAAAAGATAGAGGAGAAAGGAAGAGGCAAGACAACTGAAGACAAGACAGACGGGCAAATAATGAGAAGTAGAGAAGAAGAAATAGTTCCGAGGCGCATGACAAATTTAATTTCTTATTTCTGGCACAAAATGCAACCCTCATGGCTTAGACACAGGGAATGCCAAAATGGCCAATGGACACATGTCATGCTTATCTAGGGTATATGCAATGCTATGTAATTAAAATCAAAGCGTGCAATGGCATAAGAAATTCTGGACCAACTCTGGTGCGTGTCGCTGTCGCTGAGAACATCTGCCGTTTGCTTGACTGAGTCTGGTCAAGAATTCTGGATTTCTTGGCAAATAAATAAAATATTTATGCTGTGTGAACCCAATGTGATTGCATTGATCCTACCTCCGGCTACTGCTCCGGCTCCTGCTGCTGCTGCTGCTGCTGCTGTGTGAATTTAGTGAACTGTAAAGTGGGCTGAAAGGAGTTTTGTGTGTGGACCAGGCGTAAAGGGGTTGTGCTCAAGCTTAACAAGGGTTAAACTGCGTTGCCCCCTGCTTAAGGTTGGCTCAAGATTTGTATTTTTCACTGCAGCTGCTGTCTCAAGAACTTGTACTTGCAGCAAAGCCAAACAGCCCACAGAGTGCACCCAAAACATCACTCGAAATAACAACTGGGAGTCCATTTGAACATTTGAGCAGATGATGCAATCGACAATTGTCCCCGACAGCGTTGTCAACGTTGTCAACCTCATAAGTCGCAGCATCGTTTCTGTTCTGCTTAGCCTCAGTTGTCCATTGTATTGGACCCTAAAGTCCTGTGCCGTAATCTTTCGTCTGCCGTTACGTTCGCTTGCATTCGCCTTGTAAATACCGAAACACCTTTCCTTTTTTTTTTTTTTGCTTGCTTGCTTGCTTGCTCTGCCCCGTCTTGGTTCCCTTCGGTTGGCGTGGGTCCAGGTGTAACTTTTATTATTGTTTGTGTGTGTGTGTGTGTTTCTCTCTGTGTGTGTAACAGGCATTGTGCTCTGTAGTTTCATTTTGTTGTGCTCGCCCCCGTCCAAGTTTCTTTCATAACATTTAATTTCGTATTTTTTTCCCCCCCGTTTCTTTTCTTCATTTGATAATTGTTAATATGTTGCAATAGGCAGCTGCTAGTTGCACGAGTGGCATGAGCTAATTTTCCTGTTAGAAACTCCTCAACTTTCAATTATTTGACTAGCTGGCGTTTTGCGTCTTTTTCTGTTCCAAGTTCTTGTCATAAATTTCAAAATAAATATCTGTTTTTCAATTAGACTCCGGCTCATAAATGGATTCTTAAAAACGTTTTGAACACGCTTTAAGAATTAGACAACATTTGATGCGACGTTAATTTGGCTTATGCAACTTTACAGCCATTAATTTCACCTTAACTTTTTGTGTCTAAATTTTCGTATATTTCTTTGACAGCAAATGGTATATATCTTCTAAGTAGATCGATCGTAAGATCTATGGAAAATGTTTAAAAATTGCTGTAGGCAAATTAAACAATAACTTTAATTTCTTAGGTCAATTGAATGTAATTTAAATATGTATTACGCGTAAATGCAGCGTTCATTCAGTGAATCAATCAATGACTCATATCGGTCAATCAACCAAGTAGTCGATAAGTAACTCGGTCGGTCAATCATTCAATCAGTCAGACAGTCAGTCAAGCAGTATTTCAGTTGGTCAATTACTCTGTCATTCTGTCGCAGAGTCAGTCAATCAAGACTGAGACAAATGGCAAACGTCGTGCTGTCCATTGCTCTAAATTAGCCGAAAAGCCTGTCACATTGTGCCAAGCTTTCTGGCTCTCAGTTTATAAATGATATGCAAACATGCCGCATGTCCCGAAGGACACACACTGGACACACAATAACAAACACTCATATTTCGTGGCAGTGCGGAAAATGACCCCTGGTCAGCAGCAGCGGAGAAAGGGGTTAATGGGTGTCAGTTATTTTTTCGCGGTTGTCCGCATGACTTGCATGAAATTTATCATCGCCAGGGAAAAGCGAAAACTTCATTATGAAAATCTCTGCATGAAGAAAAATCCGACTGTCCGAGTAAAGACGCAGGACGCAACTTGAAGTATCATGTAATTAATCATGCAATTGGTTAGACTGCATGACCAAAGGGATTAAGCAAAGGTCCTGCGGCCGCAATTGTTGCGGCAGTTACGCAGCATTACAGAGTGCAAAGCGGAGGCAAATGAATTTTGAATATGAAATACGAGAGGGGAAATAAATGAAATGTATATATAAACTAATTCCAAAGTGATTCGAACATTGATACAACAACTGATCTAGTAATAATATCTAATAATATATATAAGCCTTTTCTCTCGCTTTCATATAAAGATGTATTTCGAAGTATTTCATGCGTATCTAGAGCGAAATATTATTCTGTGCGCAGATTAGATAAGGAACTCGCAGGGTTGTAGAACCTCAAGACAGATGGTGCCTTGTTGCTGTAGATATATTGCAATAAATTAAAGGAAAGTTTCCTTCTCTAAAAAATTTTAAATTTGGAATTTTGAACTTTAATTACTTTTTGTAGATAAATACATATATATTAACGGTAAGGTTTCTTCTTTAAAAAAGTTTTAAGCTTTAAATTGCAATAGGTAAAAAGAAAGAAGGCAAGATATATTTTATAAATATTTTAAATTTTTTATAAAAAAATAATTTGAAATTACCTTTGGAACCTATTCAACTAATCACTGTATAAATCACTTGTCTAAATGAAGATAATTCTCAACTTTTCTTTAAAAAAACGAGTCCAAGCTTAAATTTAATCAACTCAATTTGATTCCAACAAATGCTGTCAATTCTTAAGCTCCAAAATAACCTGAGAATTCTTGAGCTTAAAGCCAAGGTTTTTTTTGTATATCAAGCAAAACGAAACCCTTCGTCCAAGAACACATCTTCATTTCACTTAAACTCAACTTTTGCATTGATTCCCAGCAACTGTCATGCTTGTGTTTCCCAAGCTAAATGAAATCCTCTTATAATTACAATTTACACAAAAAAAATCAAAGGAAAACTCGTCAAATTACAACGATTTTTCCTTGTCTATCCCAAGCTGGGATGCCTGGGAAACATCGACAGCTACAACAACAAGAAGAACCTTAGAACGAGCCAGCTTGAAAATCAAGTTTGCTTCAATGTGTGTGCGCTGACTTGACAGAAATCAAGCACAAGTCCTGCACTTGATTGTGGCAAGGACCCGCAGCGAGATACGATGAAAAGCCCCCTTCCGAATTCGGGTGAAAAAGAAGCGAAAACAAAGGTGGTACCGATTTCATGCTTACAAGACACAACAAAAAAACTTATTAAAAAAAATAAAAAAAAAAACAACAATGTTGGAATCTCTGCACATATCACGCACAAAAGGGTTTGCATTACACTGACAAATTGGTAAAATAATACCATAATTTTTATCCTTTTGCGCGAGCTAAACAAATATTGTATAATATTTCAGGCCAGAAGAGAAAGGCGAAGAGAAAACCCGAACTCAGCATAATTAAGCCTGAGCAACCATAACGCGTCCCATAAACAGATGACAGACTGTAGAGCAGAGTACTTGCGATAAGAAAATGATTTGCATAAATATTTAACGGAAATCTAATGAGCAGCAGGACATAACACATTTGCATAAGGATGGCTACTGTCCCATGTCAGGACGGACCGGTAATGCAGCCATTTCTCAAACGCTGCTGCAAATGTCGTCTCGATGAATATTTAATTAGATGGTGCGATCCTTGAAAGGTAAAGGTAAAAAAAAAAAAAAAGGATAAGTGCAACCCCATTTCGTGCGGTTCGTTCTTGTTGTGGTTAAGGCGCATCCGCTCGTACCATCCCGTCTTGATCTAGTTGCTTGCT